TTAATTTATTCCCGGCGGGGAATTTTAATTCATCTCGAATTAAAATCTCTACAAGAATCGAGGTTTTAACCACCTTTATCAGCTGGATAAGAATGAAAAATGAGACAAAATGCTGTACCTTTTAAACAACACTGAAATTCAAAATAAACTGCAAACTATTTACACTTACGTTAAGGTTGTGTTGGATGAATTATTTGCTGAAGCGCCCGCGGCCATTTCTTTACTGATGCGGAGTACCGTATCTTCAGTTCAGGCGGTTTCTCACATTTGAACACGGTGCCTTTTTCGTCCAAACTTTGCACACGTTTCGTGAGAAAGCGACTTTCGAAGATTTTACAATCAAACCAACCTTACAAGGGATAAAAGAAGCGAAATTCTGTTCGCTTTTTGTTTTGACTGTCGAGCCGAGCGTGCAGCAGCGTCCACATCTGGACCAGGAATGAAGTATCACGTGTCTATGTCCAGTATTATGGATTAATTATTCCAAGTAACTTTCAGCTTTTTGCAAAGTAAAAATTATCATAAGTTATTTTTACAGGTCTTTCAAAAGAAAGGAACTATTTTAAGAAAACAGAATAAGAAAGGTCCGGTATTGTGACTTTTTTAACGTTTTCCTTTAGTCACGAGACAGGTCGAACGTTAACAACAGAGAATATTTTGCGGCATGCTCTGTGAAAAGTTGAAGAGAATGGATTCGTTAAAAAACAGTTTAAACTCAGTCGTTGTTTCTGTTCTCCTAAAAACAACAGTCAGCTCGAAAAGAAACAGTTTGCCAAGTCAACCGGTCCACTCAATCGCTAGAGGCAATTTATGCTAGTCGTTGGAGTGCAACGCATGAAAACGCATGTTTGATATTGAAATAATCAGTAGGGAACTTTAGGGAGGACGACGACGACGGCAGTGAAAACGTCGGTAAAACAAATTAATTTGCGTTCTTTCAAACTTCATCGCGTCTATTTGGACCCGCTAAATATGTCAAATGCAGGCGACTTTTCCTGGAGTTGAATTCATAAGGATTTTATTCAGCTTCAAAAAGATAAAGGAAAAGTCGTCGTCGTATGTCCACGTCCTCCATAAAAAGTTAAATTAGGAGGTTTCACGTCGTAGTCGTGCAGTGGACGTCAAAGAAATGCACCAAAAAGCGTGATGCACGCGCAGAGTTGTTGTTTTGATCATTAACCCTATTTTTTTTTTTTTGAAGTCGTCGTTGTGGTCGTCGTCGTAGTTGCTTAAGCTCCTTAATAATGAGTAATGCAGCCAAATCTAGTCCACTCACTCTGTGGAATAAAGTAAGTTAACCTGCAATAATTGCAACGGGAGATATCCTAGCTGTTTTAAACCCAGACACTTATTCTTGATAACATACCAAAAGTCCCAAAAAGTCCCATTAGGGGAAGTCTCTTAAAATCGGGATTCTCAGCATGAGAATTTTTTTAATGTTTTAAGATTTTATTCATGTTTACTGTAACTGTATATAGTCCATATTTAAAGATTAGCTTTTGGTTTAATTTATAAATTTTTAAGAGTATTTAGTATATTTGTATAGTTTTTATTAGTTTTATCATTTTAATTAATTTCTATCAGGGCCCCAATTGATAGTAGTGCCTAAGGCGTCTGAATGGGCTACCCTGATATGAATAAATAAAGTCTCTTTCTGATAGCGAAAGTGGCCTATTGAGAGGATCCGAAACCTTTCAAGTAGGCCCTCTTTTATTGTGGAGCCAAGGCTAACCAAAGGCCGTTCTTCGAACCATATAATGGAATCCTCATTCCGGAATCCGGGAAATTTTTTCTTATGGAATCCGGAATTCTGGGTTTTGGAATCCGGAATACAGCTCAAGGAATCCGGAACCCAACTAACGATTAGAATCCAGAATCCAAGATCTACTGACAAATACTGGAATCCAGTATCAGGTACCGGAATCCACCTTGTGAATTCCAGAATCCAAGACTGTCCTGGATCACCTTACATGGATCTAAAAGTTTATAGTTTAACGTTTATGCTAAAGGCGTGTTTTTGTATTAAAATCCGGTAAAAACGGTAAAGGTTGGGGAAAATGTTAAGGTAGCTACAATGCTTTTATGCTTCAATGCCGGCTATCTACCTGAGAAAATATTAAATACTCGGTTGGGCCCTTTTTAACGTTCATCACCTTCATCGTCGCGTGTGGATTTAGCTTATAATTACAGAGTGTTGCTGTTTTCGCGGAAATGTTTTCTGTGCATTGTGTGTTGGTTTTAATGAGAAATTTAGATAACTGCAGAAATTATAAAACAAAGTTGATCAGGGCTTATGTGGAAGGAAACGAAGGGGAAAACAGAATGGTAAGAAATGGCTTAATACGTGAGTCGCAGATTAGATTATTTTAATTTTCTTCTACCATTCAGTAACTTTTACATGTACAAGTCCACCGCAGCTCATATCACAATTGAGTCAGCACGTTATAATGACAGATTATACCACTTCACTAACCGATCGAGAGCGTTACGAAGATCATTCAGCCTACTTTAGTAGGATGTATAGTACATCTAAATACATATAAACCTGGTTTTCACTGTTTTGTTTCAAAATTTGAAGTCATCTTCTAGGATGAAAATTGTGGAAGAAGGGGTATTAACGTCAAACAGTGACAGGCGGGTGGATGGAATAGAATTTGCTTCAGCAAATTGCGTGGTCCCGAAGTCCAAGTCCAAGTTGGGCCCTGATTGGTGGGTTTAGAAAATGGAGGGGTGGCCATCAGAGAATGTTCTGTCGTTGAGACTCTTATCCATTTTGGATCAAAAAATGGATCGATTTATGTTTCTGGGAAACAGCCCACCTACCCCTCCCTTACGCTAATATTAACACTTGTTTCCTTGTGCTATTTTATTGTTTAAATGCGTATAAAAAGCATATTTAATAATTACTGAATGAGGCTGAGTATATGTCTCAAGGATGTATGATGTGAGGAATTGACGCAGATCGAAATAATAGCCTCCGAGATATTTTCTTCCTATTGCTTTAAGCAGTAGTTTCTATGTTTCGCTCAATTTGGTGGACAGTTTCCAGTGACTGAATTTAGTTAAAATTGATTTCGTCAACGCAGCTCCTTTAAGATCTGAATAAGAAAATTTTTACTGAGCCAGTTACGCCAGAGCTCTAACTCTTCCATGCTGCTGGCAAGTTAACAATGTTACAAGTGATAACCTAACGAACACGAAGTAATACGATATATTTCCTCTATTACTAGCAAACAAATTTAAAGACTCCTTATAGTGAGTTGTCTCTAACCACGAGTAAAATATTGGTTGAAAAAAACAAAACGTATCACCGCAATCAACAATCCTACTTAGAGTCAAGCAAGCACCAGGTCGCTCAAGTCAGTGCGGATACTCCTGAGGCTAACGGAAGTTGCACGACTTATACCAACCCGCCTACGATATTTGATAAGACATGGGTTACGAAGCAGTGTCACAGTCACATGCCAGCGATTGAATGCCTTTTGAGACATACGCGGGAGTCTCCGCTCACGAGTATACACTGCAAACGAAAAAAGAACAGAATTAGCTGCCTATACACCAAAGAGGTGAGGTTTTTTTAAAATTGTAGCGTCAGTTCCGGTTGACGTGCGTCGCTCAAAAACGTCTTTGCTTACTCCCTATTACAAACCCTCGAACTATAACCTAACCATTTTACGCCCCAATTACAATAAAATATGTTGAATAGGGCCCCGATTTAAAGTGCCCAGGAAATGACGCAGGTGCTTGTATCCCCAGTCGCTAATCGCATCTCGTTATGTCGGGTTCAACTGTTTCAATGATTTTTCAAATATTTGATGGATTTAACAAGGTTAACAAAGCACATACCAGAGGCATCCCCAGTTTCCTTTGACCAATCGCGGTTCTCAGACTGAGCACCTGCTGGAGATTCCGAATTAGGCTGGTGAACTTTGTCCCTGTTTATCAGTAACTGACAAAACAAAAGCATCACGGGATGGCTCTGAGCAACAAGCAGGTTGATAAAACCAAGGTAAGCAACAAATGCTGTAGAAGAGAAGGACAAGAATGTGAGATGGAGGGAGACTGGAACCTCATGGCAAGCATGTGCCAGTGAATGAACACATTAAAAGGTAAAGGTCTTTTAAGGACATTGCTGAATGATTGGATTGCAACTGTCGTTGTTAACAAGTTACATTCTTTTGAGAAGGGAGAGAAACGGTTTAGGAAGGAAGTAGCCTGGCCATAGACGTTTTTTTTCGACAATCTGACAGTGCGGGCGCGCTAGAGCAAGCACGGAGCGCCCTTGGGGTAAATAAATCCCCCGCGGTTTTTATTTCCATACGCGTGCTCGACGATCTGTCGATAGAAAATACGCGCACTCGACGATCTTTAAGGGGAAAAATTGAGGGTCTGTGAACAGCCCAGGGAGGGGGATGATAATGTGTCGAAAATATAAGAGAGGAGGGAGAAATCAGGCGATAAAGAAGGGATCAGAGGGAGAGCAAAAAAAATAGGGACGTATGACGTCGATGTTATCTAATGTTTCTTATGGTCTCTACCGTGATAACCACCTTCACCGTGAACTGGCTAGCCTGTATCTTGCATGTTGTAAGTTATATCTGGCTTGTTTCATATTTTAAATGCAAGTAGAATAAAAATTATCATGGTTACGGAAAACCGTGTAAAGATTCCCCTTTAAAGATTTCGACATGCCTCGGTCATATCTTTGAAATCCCTGCATCAAGGTCGACCGTTCTATACGAGCCAGGAATACAACTCCTAGAACTATACCCAAGGTGATGCGAAGAAAGCCAGAAAACAATCCGACCAGAATGTTGAAAAAGAACAAGAAGTATGACATAATCGAGAACAAGCGTCTGCAATATAAAAAAATAAATCAGTCAATCAGTCAAATAAACATATAAATAACAAATATTAAAATAAATCAATAAAAGAAAAGGATGGAAGGCAGAAAGAGCAATAAATGTGACCCTTTTGCCGCGTTGTCACATACGGTAGGTTGAACTGTTTTTACAAGGTTCAAGAACCAAAGGAGAAGACGTAGTGAAGACGGCAAATACCTGTTATCCACCGTGATGACAATCCTGGGAAAATCTCTGTCGCGGAAGACATAGTGGACAAGAAACAATTGAAAGAGGTAAAGGACAACGGACATGATAAACGCGGATCTGAAATCAGTAAACCACCAAAAGTTCAGTATTACACTACATAATTCTAGTGGCAGCTTTAGAATTTTATTCGACTAAACAGGGACTGTCATTGGTTAATTCGTGGTCAGGTGGCCTTGTCTGAATCTAATTGCATCTCGTTTGTGATACAATTCAGCAATTGTACCAAGCTCAAGATACAACAGCACGTGTTCAACATAGTGGAACGGTGGCGTGAGAGAAGGCGGGAAAAATCGACTGCCAGTTTTTACTTTCCTGAATGAACACAATAACAACAACAACAAAAATGGAGCCTCAAGCTAAAAGCAACGTTTTTTGAAGATATCCCTCGAGCCCTGATGTTTCCCTCAACTTCGTCTTCAGTGTGTCAGCGTTTTTCGACAACAACAACAAAAACAAAAAACTGAGAAAAAGTCGATTCTTCCCTTCCAAATTGCTTGACCTTCTGCCATCTATGATGTCATAGCGACTTTTAAGTCGCTATGGTTGCATTTAAAAATACAACCATAGCGACCAATTTGGACCAGACTTGGCAATAATCAGGTGCTAAATGATTTTAGAAAGTTGCTCCTCAGGAGAAGAGGTTTGACAACGTATAATGGCTAAAAATTTAAAATGCAGGGAAAAAAGTAGGGAGCAGCATCGCCTTACATCTGAGGGAGAAAATTGGGATAACATAAGTACTGATCGCTTGTAGTGCACGGCACGCACGGTGAGGTATAAACCTAGAACTGCATTGTACCCAGGCGTGTTCTAGCGGATTCGAGAGCGACTTGGCTTTTAATTCCGCGCTTGGTATCTTCCCAGTGTCCTTTGCGTCTACCCTAAACGTTCCCATGGTTCAATGCGCGATACTCCTTGATAGCTCGTGCAGTCGCGTTTCCGTTTTTCACACTTAAGACGCCTAGGAACAAAAGCTTCTTTCGTAGTGTTTAAACTTAAAAATGTGCGGCGCGGCAGCAGCAGCTGAAGCAAACAAACTTAAACAAGCCACAAATTTTACTTACATCACTGATTCCGCTCTTACTAAACACCATTCCCATGCGTTTTTGGGAAGGACAGGTTTTATATGCTTAAAAAAAAGTACAGGGACAAATAGAACAAGCCATAGAACAATTCCCACCGAGAGATATCCTGAAAAAAAAAAAGAAAGAAAGAAATCACACAGACAGTGAAACCTGTCACAGAAGACCTCACATTTAACGAACACTCGCGACTGTAAGTCATAAACATAACATTTTGCCTAAATTTTTATGGAAAACGAAACTCTATTCAACGGGATAACCCTCATAACCTTTTCTTAAGTTGATACTAGCGATCAGTCCTGTGGATGTTAAGTCTTCGTCACAGTCTCCCGTCACGCAACGCTCATAAAAAAAACTTTTATGGGGCCCGGGATAGTGGTGGAAAAAGGCAAGTTAAAGGCGATGTGGGCACTTTCTAATCTAACCTGAAAATATAAACATCTATACAAAGTAGCTCAGTATATAGTGAATGTGATTTTAAGCCAATTTGCAAGGCGGACTGACTGTTTTTATCTTGCTACAGTACAAGCTGTTCAAACCCTTCTAACCCTTAGCTCTAAGAGTGGTAGCACTAAATTTCTTCTTGTAATAATCTTTGCTTGATAAAACAGTAGTACCGAGAATCAAGGACTTGATTATACAAGTTAATTTATATTGTAACTTTTTTTGTTCAAACAACTGTATAGGGAGAACAAATGAGAATTTGAATTTATTTTAATTTTAGGGTTTAAAGGGTTAAGTGGACACACTCCTAGTCATCTACGCAGCCATTGTTTAAGAAGAGCCTTGTGCAGGAACAAGAAAAAGAACCGGTGAAACTTATAAATGTCTGTAGTATGATACAGCCAAACAGCATAATCACTCATTGCAACTTAAATCAAAATCAAAATGTAGTAAGTTGACTGTATAAATGTGGTTTGAGTTCACATAAAGTGACTACGTGTTTAAGGTTCAAGTAAAAAATAAGCCTTTGAATTCTTTGACTGGCTATTCTTCACCACCATCCCGAACCCATAGAAAATGTCTTTAAATAAGCTGGTGTAATTCCTTTTCGCTGGCTAACGACGGACTAGCTTGTTTTCTGTTATCTATTTCATTCAGATACCAGTTTGATTCTCGACGTTTGTTAGTGGCACACTTTGCCTCGCTTTCGTGTGGATCAGCAACACAGCTGACCATTGCAACGATGGCTCAACACGTGCCCTCTGTTCAGCTTCCTTTTGCGAAATGCACAGCTTATAAAGGCGAGTTGACAAGTCGTATTCGTGAATGTTGTGCGAGTATAATTTGCACTGCTTTGCTACCGTGGTACTTAAGGGGTTGTTCGGTTTTTTTTCTTTCAAAGCATCATTGATTTAAAATCACTGTTGACTGCAAATCATGCGAAAGGAGATACATAATGTGACCTACAGACCAAAATCCCGAGTTGAGCTGATTTTCTCTGATCTGTGACAAACAAACTGAACTGAGCGAATGTGCTTGATGGCCGATGTGCCAGTAATTGACATATTCCTATCCTTCCCCTGTACTAGAATACAATTTAGACATTAGTACCAAAAATCTCCCAATATTTTCTCCAAGAATTGAGAATATGATAACTAAACCCTCTGCCTCCAGCACTTCACCTTCCAAAGGGAACCACTAGTTTTATTAATATTTTGTTTTGGTATTTAGAGTTGTAAGACAAAAATTTAATGGTCAATCATTTGGGAGTAATTTTAAAATGACCTTTGCTTGACGTACCGTACGTCACCATACTAAGAACATAAAGCCTGCTTAACACACTCTTATCTTATCGTTAAGTGCTTATAACAAAAAAGAGTGTCAGCGACTCGCATTTTAATGAAATACGTGTCGAGACGCAATTTTCTCTCCAAGCATAGTTCTAAAAAATATGGGCCATATTAAGTGCACCGTCTACTCTATGGAATGAAACCTTCTGATCAGCAGTTTCACCATATGCGATCAGTTTTTTTCTTTCACTTTGAACTTAAACAATTATGGAAGTGAAAAAATGAACGGGTCAATGGATTAGAGCAGATTTATTCCATACTAGATGCTACTAAGCTTACTAAAAGTTACATAACTCCTACCATAAATTATATAGGCAACTTGATATCCCGAGAACCGAAGACTCCCTAACTGAAATTAAAAAAAAACAACAACAACAGAACAAAACAAAACAATAAACAAACGAAAGCAATTATGAGCACCCCTAAAGGAAGTCAGTCACACAAAGTTTATGAATACTGATTGGTTTTATTGGTGTGTTTTTTAGACATGCGCTTTGGAAGACTCGTGGAGAGTCAGGCCATACAACTACAATTGTAGGTTCATTTGTGAAAAACATGTTATATCCGAAAACGACGGTCCGACAAACTAATCTATTTGTGTAATAGAAAATGTGTTAATCGGTTTCATGGATGGCACAGGGTTTACCATTTTATAACGACTTTTTAAGGTCTTTTCAAGGACAAGATTTAATTTTCAATGCAAGGACCACCTACCAGGAATGCAATTTTACAGAACTGATTTTCAGCGCACTTTCTTCTCTTAAATTGACAGTTAATTAATGCATAAAACAAAAGAACGCCTTATGTAAATCATCTTTAACTTCTCTGAGCTACAATTTGTGTTCTATCTGGGACAACCAAAAAGCGTTAGAAAACACTTTTCGGGCCACTACATTCAGAGTTGAACAAAATTAAAGGAATTTTCAAGGACTTCCACAGAAATTTAGGGACATTTCAAGGCAAAAAGGAAATCGAGGACTTTTCACGACTGTGCATGAGAACCCTGGATGAGAATACAACGCGAAGTTCCTGCATCAAGTCAGAAGTGAAAAACGTTGTTTTATGACTTGAAAGTATATTATGCATTGGCACCCTCTCAATTTAACGATCACGTCTATTGACCATCAGAAAATAGTCTCACTTTTGTAAATGAAAGATTAAGAAGACAAACGTGACAGTCACTTACGATCGCTCACAGACCATCGGCTCTTGTGAAATAAACAATTTTTATCCCCAACATTACGAAAAAGACCGCGACAAGCAAAATACATTTACAAGAACTATTAAAAGTGTTGGTACATATTGTAGCCTGTGGCTTAAAAAGTCTTCAGTCTACCTGCGCCATCTTAAGCTAATTGAGGGACTCACCACGAGTTTAGGGGGAGAAGGAAACACTCCTTGGGCAAACCTTCTTTGACCTTTATAAAGCTGTAGAACATGATCCCTAGTGTAAATAAGGAAACACCATTACTGTCAAAATTAAGTGTATGTGATCCTGACAACCGTTGGTCCAGGATCTGGAAGGGTATTTTCGGGATCCGGGATTTGATCAAATACAGTGCGGGATTGGAAGAAACGCAACGTGTTTTGACGGTAAGCAGGAATTGACCGCTACTCAGATGTTACATGTTGTTACATGTTACTCAGTTGTTCCTACTGACTTTCAAGATGGTGTTAATGACTTTAATGTTGGCGTTAATTAAAGTATATTTTTCTTTCTTGTATGCCCAATGACGCATATGAATGCCCAAAAGTGTTATTGAATGTTGGTTAAAATACAATAATCGTAATTGAATCTGATTTATGCGCAAATGTTCGTATTTTCGGGCTAATAAATGTATCTTCGCACTATTGGTCGCCGTTTGACGTAAATGATTGCGTATTTTCTCATAATGAACAGCAAAAGGTGTACTTGCATGGTTAACCACAGGTAACGTAGACTCTGTGACAGTGTTTGTATAGGGTAAAAATACGATCCTAAAACTTGCAGGAAATACTTAAAAAACTCACTCTGCAGTTAGTTATTGTTGTCCTTAATGCTCAAACGAATTTTCGCGATAATTTGCTCAAATTCAGCCTCCATACGATATAATACACGTGGGAGGCGCGCGATGGCATCTCGACCTCTATGCTCCCTTTCCAACACAATTTTTTCCACGAAAATCAAACGACAACGGCCCAAGAGCAAATGTATTTCCAGCAGGGGAGGCTAACTTTGGGCAAGCTGTGTATCGGTCCCTAGAAAGGTGACCCCAGGACAAGGCCCGGGATGGATTTGATTTGTACATTGCCCAGGCCTCATTTGCTTGGCCGCGCGTTGATGTGGCCCTGCCACTCCGGCGCGACGACTTTCGGCCTTTTTGGATCATGTCCTTCGAGTTTATCAAAGTCTACAAGGTTCGTTTTTCTAGCTGGGAAAGCTTCATTGGTTTCTATATCTGATGCTATCCTATTTCTACGATCTAGCATGTTTATTTACCGTTAGAGTTTGAATTTCGGAGAAAAAATTGTGTAGGAAAGGAAGCAGTAGCGGCCGAGATGCCATCTCGTGCTTCCTACCTTGTGTCAGGAGCCTATGGGCTCCTACGTTGTGTATTAAATTGTATGGAGGGTGAATTTGAGCAAATTATCACGAAAATTTGTTTAAGCATTAAGGACAACAGCAACTAACTCCAAAGTAAGTCTTGTTGACCTTTATTTAGTCTTTCCTACAAATTTTAGGATCGTATATTGACCCCATACAAACACTGTAATTTTACAAGATCGGTACTGTGGTACTATCACAGAGCCTGGGTTACCTGTGGGTATAAAATGTCCAACCGAAAATCTATTTTGCCTGGGAGGGCTCAAAGAGCCATCCTATAGAACTCAAAGAGTGTCCCCACTTTTTGCGATGAGACTGGACAGCTTTATAGTACTTCATCAGCTTGACAGATTGACAGTAATTAAGTGCCGCGTAAGAAGACATTATGACGTTATCAGTTAAAAATTCGCCTCTTTTACTATTTTCGATATATTTTAGCCTCAGTTTCAGGCCTTCCATACCTACAGAAATCTTGGGTGCCTAGAACCATGATCAAACAAAGCTTTCTCCTGTTTATCTCACTTTTATACACGTGTATGGGGAAGATAAAAATTCCAAAAAGGTCAAATGCTTACATTTTAATTTTTATATGCTACGGACTTTTCGCAGTTGGTACAGTCTTTCGCTCTACGCGCGGAGATTTGTGAAAACAAGAATTACCGAACAGAGATCTAGACAAGACCTCGGAGGGTCTGGGTTAGGTCAAGATGTAACGCTTGCAGTCATTTCGGAGAAGAGAGATAATTTTACTTGATTGAAGGCCAATTTCACTGGTTTGAAATCACGTGCCAAGGCGGCCATGTTGCACGACAAAACAATGCAAATTTTTAGCAGGAGGCATGAAAAAAATAAGTTTTAGTTCCCAGCAGACGGAAAAGGCTTTTGATACAGTCGATCATAAAATTATTTTGCACAAGTTAGATCATTATGGTTTTCGAGGTGTTATAAATAAGTGGGTCTCATCTTACTTAGAAGGTCGAGCTCAAACGACGCAAATTGGTTTCTTTATTCCTAAAAAAAAAACTACCAGTCCTAGGCCCATTACTCTTTCTAATCTATGCCAACGACATCCAGAATCCTCTGAAAAACTTAAATTTTTTTTATTTGCTGACGATACGAATGCTGAATATGCTGACAAAAATCTCAAGTCCCTTGAGTCGATTGTAAATCAAGAACTCTGCAAGTTATTCGATTGGTTAACGGCAAATAAATTAACCCTGTATATTAAAAAGACAAATTTTGTCATTTTTAGACCGGCTCAGAGAAAACTTACCTATCACCCTAAAATAATGATATTCGACAATGATCAAAACAAGAATGTGGCTCTAGAATGTAAAGAATTTGTGAGATATCTAGGTATAATAATTCACAAGAATCTTTCTTGGAAACATAATATTGACCTTGTAGCTATTAAAATGAGCCGAACTGTAGGATTGATCTGTAAAGTACGGCATTTTCTGCCAAGACATACTCTTTTAACTATTTATCGATCCCTTGTTCCTCCGTATTTGTTTCGCTTCAAAAGCGAGCTCTTCGCTTCTTATGTTTCTGAGCGAAATCAGCATGCATTCCTTTATTTATTAACGCCGATGTTTTACCGTTAAAACTTTTGCATTATGAGCTTTTAGCTACCCTTATGTTTGATCTAAGACACAGTAATGCTCCTGGAAACATTCAAGATCCCTTTCAAGATATTTCTGATCTTCATTCTTATAATACTCTGTCCTCTGCCTCTAATAACTTTTACACCCAAAGTTCCAGACTCTCAATTTAAGTGAATTTATTTTTTAGAATCGGAACAAAAATATGGAATGAAAAGAATATATCTTTAAGAAAACTTTCGAAAAATGCCTTTAAGATCGAGAGGAAAATAAACAAACACTTTTTGAGATCCTAGCCTCAGAAGACTGTTATATTGATCTCCCAGAAATGGTTCAAAAAGTTAAGCTGAATTTATTTTCCTCTTAGTATGTAATCATTAATATCGTTTAGTGTATCAGTAGTCTCTTGTCATAACTGTTGTCATTTATTCTTAGTAATACCCTTAGTGTATCAGTAGTCTCTCGTCATTGTTGTCAATTTTACTTTTTTTTGTTCTGTTGTTACTTTTAGTTGTGTTTAGTTGTATTTATTTCCTGTAAACATGACCCGCCTTTCTTGCGCCTAGATTAGCTTTGCTACCCGCGGGCATGTTATAATTGTACTTTTAGCTCAAAACACAATAAAAATGAATGTATGTATGTGTGTATTTATGTATGTATGTGTGTGTATGTGTGTGTGTATGTATGTACGTATGACGGAAACGCTTCAGCTATTGTCCACCAACATGGCCGCCGTGACTTCAGCTACAAACCAGCAGAACGGACAAAGAATTATTCGTTTTCAAACAGAAACGGCTTAATATATGCATGTGAACAAGAACAGCGATTTTAGAAAAATACCATAAAATTCCGAAAATAAGCCCCTCCATGTATAAGCCCCTCCAAATATAAGCCCCTCAAATCCGTAACCCCAAAAAACCCTCCGTTAAATCGCCCCTCCAAATATAAGCCCCCCGGGGGCTTGTACTTGGAAATTGCCTTCAAATACAAAGTAAAACAAAGCAAAAATGGAATTTCCGGCGTTTGAGTGGATACGAATTAGCCGGAAATGAAATATTTCTGCGGCACGGGAGCAGTGGGGACTGGGGCAGTTGAAGTGCAGTATGGGTAGAATGGAGCGCTATAAAAGGGATGCTTAACACGTGGGAAAGCATTCTAGGCCGACACCTCGTCTAGCTCATGTTATTTTTCACTTTTGTCTTCCTTGTGACTTATTCTCAATCATGGACGAGGCCGAAGTAGTCAGAATTGAGGAATCGACTGTTACAAAGAAGAATGAGAATCTCTTAGCGTCTATGAAGTCGTTGCTTGATGACTCCTTAAACGAGCTGAAACGTTCGCATGCAGACACCGCAGATTCCTACCTTAAAGAAATCAAGAGGCTTAAGTTCGACGAGCCTCATCGTTTTAAAAAGAGAGGTAACGAAGATCAATATCGATTCAACCTCAAAGTCAGCGACGCTATCGAAGAGGCTAAAGATGCTTGCTCCGCCCGTCAGTTTGATAAAATTCACGCTTCACTTGAGAAAGGTGAGAAGTTATTGAGTGAGAGGCAGAAACATATTCTGCTTGCTGACAAGTCAGACTTTGGGTGGTCGTTAGGGTTAGGATTCCGACGACGAGAAGAAGATTATCAGAGCAGAGGTTAGGGCACGTAACCCAGGCTAAACAAAGCGGACGTTTGAAGTCAAGGCCAACAAACAGAAGAGATCCCACTGCGTTAACGACGGTCGCTGCTGCTGCTTCTAGCCAGTGCAGTGGGAAACCTATTCCAATAGTGCAGACCAGAACACCACAAGCCAAACCGGGTTCCTGTTTTGCCTATAATAAACCTGGACATTGGAGGGCCCAGTGTCCTTACACTGCAAAGTCAACCACCGGCCAATGACTAACCGCCGGCGATCCAGAAAATTTTCAAGGTGTAGTCAATTCCATTGTTTCAAATAGCTCTAGTGACTTTTCTGATGATTATCTTTCAACTTCAGATCACCCTGATAAGGCAGTAGAAATAAGGTCGCTGTTAAATTATGAGTTTACTTCAGGGCAATATAACAGCCCTTCGGTTCGTGGTCTTTTGTCTTTGTGCTACGATCAATGGGTGAAATTAGGCGCTTCAGGGTTTATATTAAGCGTTGTCCGCGACGGTAAAGTTCCGTTCGTGACTCTTCCGCCCCCTAAAGTTAGTCCTAACAATCACTCTGGTGTTACCCATAGTCATTTTGTTTCTGAGGCTATTTCCGACCTGTTAAGAACTAAGTGTGTTGAGATTCTGGATCACAAGCCGGATATCGTTAATCCACTTTCTGTTTCCATTCAGCCTTTAGGCAAGAAGAGATTAATTATAAATTTGAGGCATGTTAATCTGTATGTTTTTAAGCGTAAATTTAGATGCGAAGATGTATCGGTTGCCCTTCAGATTTTCTCTCAAGGGTTTTTTCTTTTCAAGTTCGACTTAAAGTCCGGTTATCCTCACGTTGAAATTTTTCCCGATCACCTTAAATACTTAGCTTTCTCCTGGGATTTTGGCGATGGTGTTGTGAAGTATTTTCAGTTCACGTACAGTTTTACTTTTCGGGTTGTCTTCCGCATCGTATCTGTTCACAGAATTATTAAAGCCTATTCTTACTTCATGGAGGTGCAAAGGAATTCCCATGGCTATTTTTCTCGATGACGGCTTAGGGGGTGGTAGCAATTCTATCAAGGCCAAAATTAACAGTTTGACTGTTCGCGCTGATTTGACTAGGTACGGCTTTGTTATTAACAAAGAGAAGTCCCTTTGGGAGCCTGTTCAAGTTATTTCCTGGCTCGGCACTGTTTTTGTTACTTATCAAGGATTTCTTTCTGTTACCGAACGAAGGGTTTCAAAGCTAAAGAGTAGCATTGATCTCTTAAGTAAGGATGACTGTAAAATTTTCAAAGTTAGAGATGTAGCCTCTGTGGTAGGCCAAGTCATCTCGTTCACTCCTTGTCTTGGAAGTGTAGCCAGAATTATGACACGTGCTTTGTACACAGTTGTAAATCAAAAACAGTCAAGAAACTCTAAGGTTGAGTTGACTAAAGAAGCCTGTGATGAATTAACGTTTTGGATAGACAACGTCGACTCTCTTAATTTACGTTGCCCCTGGTTGCCTTTTCAACCGCCCGCTAGATTTGTCTATTCTGACGCATCAGATTACGCTTGTAGTTCTTTTATTGAAAGCGAGCTTAAGTTTTTTTTATCAAAATTGGAGTGCTACAGAGGGTTCTCAAAGCTCTACTTGGAGAGAGCTTAGGACTGTAGACCTGGCACTTTCCGCCTTTGCTTCTGATCTTCAGGGTAAAAAAGTTGCTTGGTTTACTGACAACACTAGTGTACTAAGCATCGTTCATAACGGTAGTAGGGTTGAGGAGCTTCAGTCTCTAGCGCTTTCTATTTTTCATGTTTGCGCGAGTTCAGGCATTTCCCCTGAAATGAATTGGATCCCTAGCGATTCTAATCACCAGGCTGATTCTTTGAGTAGAATAATTGATTTTGACGATTACTCTATTAATGATGACGTGTTTCATATGTTGGATTGTAAATGGGGGCCCCACACAGTGGATAGGTTTGCCTGTAGTTACAACGCCAAGCTTTCGCGCTTTAATTCTATATTTTACCAACCCGGAGCTGAAGCTGTGGACACTTTCGCCCAGAACTGGAAGGGAGAAAATAATTGGGTCCATCAACCGGTATCGCAAATTAGTAGAGTTATTACTCATATGAGAGCGTATAAGGCTGTAGGAACTTTAGTTATTCCTTTGTGGAAGTCTTCCTATTTTTGGATTTTACTATGTGATGATGGCAAACACTGGAACACTTTTGTACACGATTGGGTGATTCTTCCCAAGTTCGGGCATCTTTTTATTAGAGGTAAAGCCAAGAATCACGTTTTTGGCTCAAAGGATTTGTCCTTTAGTGTAGTACCTCTGCGTCTAAATTTTGTGCAACCTAGGGCGCAGTCTGTTTTGTGTTTTTGTACAGTCGAAGATGACAATTGCTCGCTTTGCAACAATTTTTATAATTAGGGTCTTTGGTACCCATCTTTGGAGAAGTCTTTGGGTACTTCGTTTATTCACGTTCTTTAGGAATGTCGTTTCTGAGCTGTTTCATACGTTTGCCTGCTCTCGTGATTGGAATTTTCCTTTATTAATGATAGTATTGCTGGTTTGTCAGCTGCCTTTTGGTTCATCATTTTCAAGTGGTAGATTTTATTTTTCTTGATTTGCATTTATTATGCACACTTTAATGAGCCTGTTTAAGAATGCGTTCTGACAGAGGTGTTATACAATTAAAACGAGTCCATTGTTGCACATAGTTTGTTTTTTCTTTCTATTGTCTCTGATTGCTCTCCCCTTTTGTTTACAGATATTTTTAAGGAAAGTATTGGGAAAGAAACCGAAACTTTTCAGGACCCATATCTCCAGAGCCTCATTTCAAGGCTTCAGACGTCTGTTTTGTCAGCAAGGGTTCCGGCCACCACAAATATGTATCATCGGGCGTTCAGGAAATGGATGGACTTTGCTTTAAGCAAATTGAACATTTCTTTTCTACCGGGGTCAGTTGACTAAAAGTCTGCACAGCATAGTTCTGGATCCCTCTGTCTACGGGACTCACTCTTTCCGGTCTGGAGGAGCGTCGAGTTCTGCCAACAGCGGGGTTAGTTATAGAGTTTTTCAGAGGCACGGCAGATGGAAAAGTGTCGCAGCCAATGATGGTTGCGTAAAGGACGACATGTCTTCACGTCTTGCAGTTTCGAAATCTTTGGGACTTTAGTTTGTTTTCTTTCCGGGTTTCAGTCAAGCCCTATACTTTTCCTTCTAGGTTGTTGTATAATGTATTGTTATATCTGCGGTGCTCGGCCGAAACAGCCAAAATAAACCTAATGGTTTTCTATTCATGTTGTACTGCGTAGTGGAGCCGAAATATGGAATTTCCGGCGTTTGAGTGGATACGAATTAGCGGGAAATGAAATATTTCTGCGGCACGGGAGCAGTGGGGACTGGGGCAGTTGAAGTGCAGTATGGGTAGAATGGAGCGCTATAAAAGGGATGCTTATCACGTGGCAAAGCTTCTAGGCCGACACCTCGTCTAGCTCATGTTATTTTTTATTTATTTATTTATTTATTTTAGTATATATTTGATCGATTTACTAGTGGCAGTTTGATTTTTCCAGGGGTTTCTTAGCTTGTTTGCGTTTCCTTAAATTATCTAGAGTTTGCCGTCCTTTGTTGGAATACTTGTTTTGTAAATAAGGACAAAGACCTTCCAGCCGTGTAGCCTTCGTAGGATGGGTTTTTCATAGCATGACCCATGGATTCTACCCAGATTTCCTGCCGACTTTTTTTTCCTTACTGAGGTTTTTTTCCAGCAGTTTTTTTTTTAAACTGTCGCTCAGCTCTGTTCTAGTTCTTACACCACATATTTGAATGTAACAGAAGATGTTGTATAATGTATTGTTATATCTGCGGTGCTCGGCCGAAACAGCCAAAATAAACCTAATGGTTTTCTATTCATGTTGTACTGCGTAGCGGAGCCGAAATACGGTAAATTTCCTTCCAACTATAAGGCTAGCCCAATCGATTTTGAAACGCAAAGTTCCCTCCATAGATAAGCCCCTACGAATATAAGCCCCTCTAAAAATAAGCCCCTCAAAAAGGGCCTTTGAAAAATATAAGCTCGGGGGCTTATTTTCGGAATTTTACGGTAGAGGGAAAAAAACATTTTCAAATAAAAACAGATACGTGTGGAGAGGTCAACATTTACAATAAAGTTAGCTATGCATGATAATAGATCACGAAAGATTCGTGAAATACGGCTTATTATTAGCTTTGCCGGGATGAAAGCGGCGCAAGATTGGGAAGAATCGTGAAGACGGTTTTCATAAACGTCGTTCGTCTAATACCTTGTAACGATAGCAACACATTTAATCTGTTACAACCTTCATGGTTTATTGAAAATAGTTCACTTACCAAATAGGTCAGACAAAAGATCGTTGACGACAGACTGATCTGCGAAAAAAAATAAAAACAGATACGTGTGGAGAGGTCAACATTTACAATAAAGTTAGCTTTGCATGATAATAAATCACGAAAGATTCTTGAAATACGGCTTATTATTAGCTTTGCCGGGATGAAAGCGGCGCAAGATTGGGAAGAATCGTGAACATATATTGTTTTCATAAATGTCGTTCGTCTAATACCTTGTAACGATAGCAACACATATATTAAATCTGTAACAACCTTCATGGTTTATTGAAAATTGTTCACTTACCAAATAGGACAGACAAAAGATCGTTGTCGGCAAACTGATCTGCCAAAAACTTTTTCGAAACGTCAGCAGCATAGAGTTCTATTACAAAGATCTGTAAAAAAAGTACGATAAAAACAACTGTTACTTTTTTTTTATGCTGTTCATAATGTTCCTTACTTTTCATTCTGTTGGCAACTTCAAATCCTATATGCACGCATGGCTTGGCTGCCTGATTTGGCAACATATTTAAAAGAGCGTTATGTGTGACTGCTACTGCCAAAATATGTCCACAAAGTCTCCGCGGGCCGACCATTGAACTTTTGAGGGGGTTAAGTGGGGGGAGGGGGGGGGAATGAGTGACGTTGCATGCAGGAAGAGAAAAATTGCAAGCGGCACAAATACAATTCTGGATTGGTGGTGCTGCAGAATTATAATGCTTCATATAAGCAATGTATTACAATCGACAAATCAAGAAATCAGTTTCGTTTTCGGGTAGCCTGTGGTTAAGAAAGTCGGGCTTCCTGTTTTTTTCTTTCCAGTTTCTTTTCGGTGGCCTGAAAGAGAATCAGTGCATGCCCAGGAAGTGGCCCGTTTTCACAGCAAAAAGTACAAGGAACACCATCACTTTGTTTTATGTTCAACTATGAGGTACTCGATTTAGAAGTGGACTGAAAAAAGGTTGAGCAAATATTATTAGAGCTAATTTTTTCACGCATATACAAACCATGATCCACTTTAAATTTCAATTCTGCTTTCACACCTGTTCTGGAGATTTCAGTCCACTTTTAAATTGTAAGTGATGATTCTAGGAGCATTTACCATACTATGAGCACTTCTGAACTGCTTTATGCTGTTTTTCAAATTTGCTTGATGTGCATCAATTTATAATATGACAATATTATAATGACTTTATATGACATGAGTGTAAAGAATGACTTTCCAAAACATAGCTATACAAGAATGATTTTGTCAGCTTACTAAATTTTAAGGCTTTGCAGCTCTGCAGCTGTATATCAGGATTATTACTGCATTAGCCACAATGCAAATGTAAATGAATTTTTACAAAAACTTGGACTGATCCAGAGAAATAAGAAGGGAAAAATATCCTGCAGAGCATTGAGAAGGGAAAAAGATATCCCATATCCTGCCCAGCAGGTTTCTGGAAAAAATTCTTGCTGACCAGAAATCACCCACCCTCCTTCCCCTCTCAAAAGTTAAATGGTCGGCACCTTATGTCATATTGCATTGGTGCGTCATGTGCCTCTCCCAAAGTGAACTCCCATCACCCCCTCCCCCCTCCACAAAGAAAGAAGGAAATAAAGAAAACACACACACACTATTTCCGGGACGCTGCGCTAGTACACTCGAGAAAATCGAATACATTAATTGAAACGGCAGCAACAAATTAAAAACGCACCTGAAAGACAGTTATTGCAGCAACTACAACAGTTGAAACTAGCTGGGTCGAGAATTTGAAATCTGAAAAGCCATCAAGAATGCTATTAGGCAGGGCAAAGCAAGGCACTATTTGATACAAGTTTAAATGCAAAGAAGAAAAAACACACACACACAACGAAAGGCTGTTGTAATTTCTTATAACTTCGTCGCACAAGTATAGACTTGAAATAGAGTTAAGTAACATTGCGGGGACTGTAGCATATCAAGGCCTGTCAGTAAAAAGATGTTATGTTTCAGTCACCTGAGTTATAGTTATCAAGGGGAGAAGAAATTATAAGTCATTTGCATATTGTAGTCGATAAAGCCCCGTGTAAACGGACGCAACATTGTTGGCCAATAACTCCCAACATTGTTGGATGTTATACGTTGCGTACGTTTGCACACCCTGTTGCATGTTGTTGCGTGTTGTTGGGAGTTGTTGCACAAAGTTCGAAACCGATCGAACTTTTATGGATC